ACCCTTTGCCCGATCTGCTCTCTCCCTCTCTCTCTCTCTCTCTCTCTCTCCCCCCTCGCAGCGCTGATCGAGGTGGAACCTCGCGCCCGTCGCCCCGCCATCCCTTCGCCACCCTTTCTTCTACCGTTCGATTCTTCGTCACACCGCATTAGATTCGCTTCTGCTCCCGTCATTACTCGCGACGGATTCGCGACGGCCATTATCGGGGGTCGCGCGCGTTTCGCGCTGCCACCGTCTCCGATTCCTCGTAACCGAATCGCCCCGTGAATCATCATCCCGTCCAGTATAACCCAGAGAGGAAGATCTAGCTGGAGCAAAAAGTCCGAAAAATCGAGTGCTCGTGTAAACCGTGCGGTCGAATTTTTTCCCCCTCGTGTTTAGAGTATATCTCGAGTTGTATACGTCTTCGCTGAACCAGCAGCGTGACGCAAGTCCATTTGACACATGTTCGTTTAACTACGACGCGTAGCCCATTGCTGTCGTAAACCTCGCTTAGGCCCGAGGCGTCCACGGATATTTCCGGCAAGGTAACGACGTTGTCTGCCCCCTCTCTCCCTATATATATATATATATATTCTGCTCTCCTGACAAGTATCCTAACGTTTGTCCACCGCGATGACTTTGTTCTGGCGCAGCGATCACGGCGAGTTTCCGGTTGCGGGACTCAGTGAATCAGAATGGTCGCGCAAAGGATTCGTAGGCGAACGAAGCCCGAGTAGGGTGGTAATCGACACGTTTCCACGCAGTGGCGTCGTCTAGAGGAGCAGAAGGACGTCGGCTGCGTGGACGGTCAGACGGAGACAAGGGAGAGGACAACGTTGTTGCACGCATCCCCCATCCACCGGTTGCCTCGAGAGCAGTTACAATGCCGGGGAGGGTTCCGGCGATCGGTGTGTGTAAACGTTCACTTCAAAGCAAATCAGCTATCGTTACGCACGGGGGCACCGACGTCATCGATGTCCATACCCGTTCCTGCTACCGTTCTCGTTGTTGTTGTTGTTGTTGTTGCTGCTGCTGCTGTTGTTGTTGTTGTTGTTGTTATCGTGCCCGTGGTCGGCGCCGTTCTCTCGTGGTGGTGGTTGCGAGCTCTTTTGAGAATTAGCTCTTCGAAGCTCGTTCGAAGATGACACGGCTGCGGGTTCCTTTGCGTCGCGACAGATACTCGGGTGGATATGTTAGTCACGGACTATTGATCCGGGGGATGAATCTAATACGAGTAATTATAGGTATCGTCGACGAGCATTGCGTCAGGAATCTTTGAGGGGATCGTCAACCGTGAACGTGCAGCTAATGAACGGTTATCGTTCCTCCGCTTTCGATTTAGGCTCGTTCGAGCTTGAACCTTGACATATTCCCCGGCCGCGCTCCTCGTTCGTCGGGTTTAAATCGTCTTCGGGCTTAAAAATCCGCGTTACGCGTCCACGGCGAATATACCGGTGCCCGCGAAAAGCCGGGGATCGCGCGTGACGGTGGTCGGAACCGGGGTTGAAACGCGGCAAAGTCCCCTGGGTCCCAATTACACCGACACCCGATCCCGGCATTACGGCCCGGCTAATTCGTGGGGTGCGGAGCGTCGCGCGTATAAATCTCGGTCGGTTGATTGTACAGTTTCAATTCCGTTTGTCGCCACTCGTCGTTGCGAAACGCGTCGTCGTCCTCGTCCTCGTCATCGTCGAAACGATCCTTCTCCTGCCCCACTCTTTCCCCTCACTCCCCCTTGGTCCGTTCGCCACGCTTTTTCCCCGGAGCTCGTTCCTCTAGGCGTTTGGCGGAAAAGCGACAGGGGTGTCAAAGGTCCAGGCCGGTGGAAAGAAACCGAGAGAAGGAGGAGAGGACGAGACTTACGCCGCTTACGCGACGCGAAAAGGGGTGTTTCTATCCGGGCGACAAAAGGTCCGGGCTAATTACGAGCAGGCCGCAAGTTGCCGTAACGCTGCGGCAAAGGCAGCTGTCGGCTCCCAAGGCGATCCGCGGAGGTTTACTCGCGCGCTGGGCTTTTTGCTGCGCGGAGAAAACGCGTTCGGTCGGTTCACGCGAGACGTCGGCCAGAATTTCCGGCCGCGGATCCAATCCAGAGCCGCGTCGCGCTTCTTCCGCGTTCTATTTGTTATCCTATCCTCCGTCGACCAATCTTCCTCGCCTATTCCCTCGATGACGGCGCAACGTCGTCCGCGTCGCAGTCGTCGTCGTGGTCGCGGTGGAAAAACCGCGAGCTCGATTAACGACTCTCGAAATCCGGTTCGCGTAACTCGCGGAGACAACTCGTGGGAATGGTCGGCGCGGGAAAAAACTCGTTTTCCTCGTGCACGCTCGGCGCGGGCAAATAAACGCTTGGCTTTTTCAACCTTTCCCAAACAAAGTGGCTTTCCGAAGACACGGGCTCCGCCGCGAGGAGAGGAATAGAACGTCGCGAAGGAAGATCGGAGACGGGAGATTCCGCCTGGTCGGAGCTGCAGGTTGGCCGGTTTATCGGCCCCTGCAAAGGTCATCTGGTTGTTCGACGCGAGCAACGCGTGTCCCATTACAAATCCCTCGACCCGCGCCGAAGAACAACGACGTGGCAGCGCCGACTCCTTGCAACCCCTGCCAAGATAATACGGCCTGCTGGTCCGCGGGGGGTCGGAGATTTCAACCTTTACCGAAATGCCAAGCGGGGCTTTAAACGGGCTAATAACACCGCGCCAGCCTTCCAACCCCCGTCTACCCTGCGATTCCCTGCTCGTTGCACAAATTGCCTTTGCTACCGGCAAGCAGGCAGGCAGGCAGGCAGGCAGGCAGGCAGCGATACCGGGACGCGCCGTAAAATTGATAAAGACGTAGGTTCCACGTCGACTCGTGGATCCGCGCTAGCCCCTTTCCTCTTGCAAGAAGATGAAGAAGAAGAAGAAGAAGAAGAAGAAGAAGAAGGGCCTGCGGAGAAAATGTCAACGTTCCTTTTGCTCCCCGTGATCGGGTAGGACACCGCTCGGTTGTTGCACCGCCTCGGGGTTACCCTCGGGGTACAGCAGGAAGAAAGCGACTACGCGTTGCGTTTCATTTGCTCGCCGGTCATTAGCCGAATGAGAGACGATGGACTTAGCGAGCGGTTGCGTCAATATTCTCGGATGATCGATCATCCGGCCGGAACCGCAGGAGGCCTCGCGCAAATTAAGTATCGTCTTACGCTGGCCGCCGCCTTTAAGAATCCTCGAAAATACGAGAGAGCGGACGCGAACACGGGGAAGAAGGAATTGGTCGGTAGCGTGGCATCGATCATCGGCGTCGACGCTGGAACCGACGGGGTTGGGTCGAGGCCGGGGCGAAAGCAAAAGTTTCGCGCGGAAAGATAAAGGTTTCTATAGTCGTCCGAGGGGGTGGCAGTGGGGCCAGACTATTTCCTATATTTGCGATATCATAGAACTCGCTTGACATTATGGGTGGCGTCGGGGGTGGGCCGAGGGATAGATGGGCTATTCCGTGAGACCGGCTGTCATATTCATGTATTGACACTGAGCTGGTTGACTAATGGACTGCTGTTGTCACAGGCTCGTGTTACCACCGCGAGGGCCCGGCCCCTGCAACTCGTTTTTCCTGCGAATCGACCGAAACGCGTCCACGACTACTACACACCACGACCACGTCGTCCTCGTCCTCGTCCTCCTCGCTGACGTCGTCGTGGACGGACGCGTGGCGCGGAAAGAAGCGAGAGGGCGGAAGTAAAAATAAAATATCGGCTCGATCGAGCGAGCGTGGCCGATCGACGCGGAGCGAGAACGCGCGCGCGGAAAGGCACCCTCTGTCCCCGGAGAGAGGACTTTTTTTCGTACGGAGCGCAATATAGCGATCGCGCGCTCGTCCGCCCCGAAGCACGCGGATATTCCTGTCGGTCTTCTCCACTTTTACATATTTATCGCGTCTCGCATTGTGCTCGCGTCAGCCGGGACGCCGACATCTTTTGCCAGGAAAATCCGCGATATTGAATTTGCCTGCCACCCTTCCGTTGCCGTTTTCGTTCCTCCTCTTCCTCTTTCCTTCGTCCGCCGTGCCAATCGATTCGCTCGCCGCGGCGGAACGCTTTCCTCTCATCGCGAAAACGCTCGCGAGGACTACCATCCTCTTCCCTCCCCCCCCCTCGCCCCGGATGATTCATCGAGCACGCGCTCGCGCCAGGTTCGCGGTCGCTGGACATAACGGGAGCCCCGAATCTGCCCGGCCGAGATCTCCATCTCTGATCGGGCAAGCGCGACACAATGGAGAGATCGCTGCTCCCGGTGCTCGCTTTTTCTTTTTCCTTCCACGCGGCTGGAAAAAGGAGAGAGAGAAGAGGACGGTCGAACAAAGGGAGTGGGTGTCGGTGCAGGATCGAGTAGGTGGTCAAAGAGAAGCAGAGCCCGTAAACGCGAGACGACTATTCTATTACCGACTGACATTCGATACAAACTTGGTCGAGCGATCACGGCCTTTGCCGTGGTCCTTCCACGTTTCCTTCCTTCCTTCCTTCCTTCCTTCCCTGCCACCCCTCTGTGCCTGTTTCCACCCTTCGTTCCATTAAAGTCGCGAAACAGCCGGGACGAAGGCTGTGCTGCTGGCCCGAAGGAGGAGAAGCGAGTCCGAGTCGAGGCTCTAGAGTCCTCTCTAGGGTTCTTCGAGGCTGGAATAATAGGATACCGGCTGGGACCCCGACGAGCGCGGCGAACGCTTTATAGCGACGTGTGTCTTCGTCGTCGATGCTTTGATTTATCGCGGCGTTAAATGGCTCGACGCGGGAACGCCCGCTGCAACCTATCCTCGTCGCGGATCATGGCGCGGTCGCGGGCGTATTATTCTCGAAAAGCTCGTTTACGCGGCCGCTGGATTCGTCGTAAAGGGTGTATATCCGTTTCGGTCGGGGGACACGCGGGCATCCGTGAACAACGAGGTCGATGGAATTTCGCTCGGCCATATGGCCGAGAGTAGTAAACACGCGCGCGTCCGGTCTAGCCGTGACGCGCTGGGGGACGTCGATGATCTCGGGTACTCACCTCGAACCTTCTGCTCGTCCTGGAGTTGTCGCTCGAGGCTGTCCTTAACCTCCCTCTCCCGGAGAACGTCCATCTTCAACTCGGCTGAAACGGAAAACAGAGAAAACTCGGTTCGTCAGTCTCGAAATAGGCAGATCGTGCTTTACGCGAATTATTCACTCTCCGACGAGGACCATCGTCGGTGGAAAGATGACGACGGAGAATATTGCGCAGCGTAGCGGGCTCGTGATTAAATCCAACGGACGGTCCAGAGCTCGCATAGTTACCTCTAATAGAATTACACCGAGACGCACGGCGATCCTGTTCCTCCTAGCTTGTCTCCAAGACGCCCTTTCTCCGTCTTTGCGAACAACCCCCGTCACCCTTGGGACTCGCCACGCTAAATTAGCCATTTCGAATCACGGCAAGAGGGTGGCAGGATCCTCTGCCGGGAGAAACTCGCGTTTCTGACCTCGTCTACCCTCCATTTTCTATTCGGTTTACGCAAACGCTTCGGAAAGCGTGCTTCGATCGTGCTTGTTCCGGAAAAAACGAATCCGGCACCACGGCGATAGCGGTGATGGTGGTGATGGTGATGGTGGTGGTGGTGGTGGAAACCCCTGGGAGAAGGAGTCTCGGGTATCGAGGAGAAAGGAAAGAAGTCGGTTTTCGAGCCGGTAAAACGTTCCCAGGCTCTAAATCAAGCGGGCTAATTCGGTTTAACGGGAGAAAAGAAAGCGGGGGAGGGAAAAGCACCCTCTTTCTGGCTGTCTGCTTCTCGAATTACATCGGTAGCCAATGAGCCGCGCAGCTCGCAACGCGTCTCGCGGCTCATCGACCTACGAGTCGCTCGTTAGATCGCTGCCAATTTGCGGACATTTCGCAGGATCGTTTCCTTCGCGATTCCCGATACGCCGTAAAACCGACCCCTCGTCTACCTCGGGTCCCTTTCCTCCTCCTACAGATATACTGCACTCTTTCGTGTATTTCCGTTTGGAAACTCGCGAAGCAACTGGAAGCAACGGATCACAGGGGTCGTCGGACTGGAACGAGTGGAAGGACACGCGAGAGTGTGCTAGGGAGGGTGGTCGAATAGACGCGAGGAAGCGGCGGATGCGAGAGAAGGGCAAACGGTGGTGTATCGAGTGGCGATAGGGATCGATCTAAAGAGAATTCGGTAGGAAATGGTAGATCTAGCGATAGATGGGAGTGTCGGTCGGACTGGCGGAAAGAGGAGGATCGCGCGATATCCGCGGAGGTAGACGGGGGTGGGGGGGGGCTGGGCGATGAGCCGCGCGGAGAATCAAGCCGGTAGATTAGGTAGGGGCGCGCGTCTCAGCAGTCTGCCGGCAATTTGAGAGCGTTTGCGAGGTCCATTAACGGCGGTAACTCTTCACGACCGGCCGCCACGAAGATTCAATTTGAATGCTAACCAGAATAGGAAGTTCGCGCCGGAGCCCCGCCGTTACGTGTATACGTTACGCGGCTGCCCCTTCCTGCCGTGCTCCCGCCCGTCCGCCACCCCTCGCCCCACCCCTTGCCACCCTGTTATTGCCAATTTCGGCGCGTTTCTGCAGCCCACTTTGCGATCGTTTAGATTATCATCTCTCCCGGTTTCTCTTTCTCTCGTCGGCAACGTTAGGGTTCTCGTTCGACTCGCTTCCCCGCCCCCTTCCGCCCCCGGACCTTTGCCTTTCGCTCCGGCTCGTCTACCTTTCCCTCGGTACCTAACGTTTCCGGGGATAATTGAACTTTATTAGAGATCGTCGTCGACGCGAACGTCAACCCTGCAGCAGCGCGAGTCCCCGGGGCCGGTTCCAATCCACCCGATCCTCCACCGGTTTAACCGTTGCCCTTCTCTCTGTCCTTCCGCTTCCACTTTCCACCGACACCCCTTCTTTCCGACGCCGTCTCCCATAGCCTTCGCGGGACTACCCCGCGAGTTTGGACCAGAGGTCATCGTGATAATTCCACGCCGCCCAGCCGACGAGCGTTCAATTTTCGTTCAAATTTCCGAGACGAAGGCTACTTTCTCCGCGAGAGAGGGGGGTCGCGGTTTAGATCTTGCCCGACGAGGCTTCGCGACGTGGTCGTTGTTTCGAATCGTCGGAGCTCGATGATTTCGGGTGGAATCGAACGCGCGGCTGTCGCGCGACTCGGCTCGGCGCGTTAAGAGGAGGACGAGCGGGCGACTATCGCGGCGCGGAATCTCGCCTAGGCGAAGGATCATCGGCGATAATAATATTCACGGTAGCCCGAGCACTCTGGCCCGGCAACAATAACGGTGCAACGGAACGTGCATGCCACTGTTACCGGAGCGATTCATGGTTATTGATTAGTATATGGTTGGCGGGAAGACGGGAGGCGGCGGTGGCGGTGGCGGTGTAACGTTCGCATCCCCGGAGGGCTTGTACGACGACGTGTACGCGTGGTATAGCTTCTGCGCGGCGCTAAGATATTCGCAGGGCCCCAGGCCACCCTCGGAAACAACAATGTCAACTTAGCCGCGCGCCGTGCCCCGCAATCGTTTGAATAGTATAATGTAGCTTTCGTGTTACGCCCCGCCGTCCTCCGACACGCGTCCATCCGCGTATCGCCGCCTTCCACCTACGCCTACGCCCACGCCGCGAGATCTCTTCCTCGCTTCTTCCGCTTTTCCCGCTTTGCCCGCCTCGCCCGGAGATCGCGAATTTAATTTCGACGGATCACGAGCCCGGTAATAAACCGCCTCTGGGAATTAACCGGCGGATTATTTCGGTAATTTACAACCCCGGGGCGCGTTGCTTCTGCTCCCAGGGAATTCTCTTATTCGCGCGTCGCCGCGAGTCTCCCGCAGTCCCGGCAACGATGCGTCTTCGTCCTCGCGAGGAGAACCTCTCGCGGTCCGTACTCGGATCTCGGATCTCGTTTCCGGCGCGCCAATTTCATAAATTTCTTGACCCCGAATCCCGATTAATCCCGCGCCCCCTCAGCGTTATTTGCCCACGCGAGGGTTTCCTGGGCCGGAGGGTGCGGGCCCTGCCGAAACGACGATATTATTGTTTCCACCCTTGCATATTATAAACGCGTAACGATCGCTCCGGCTCGCAAGTTTGTCCTCTGCCGCGGGCATGGCCTCTGCGCGCGCGGCACTTTAATTGTCCGCGGTGCACGCGAGCGGAAACGCCGCGTCTCTGCCGTCTCGCGCGCGCACACAAGCCGAGACGTTGCGAAGCGGAGCGATCGAGATTCCCCGGGAGGACGCAACGTCGATCGGAGACGAATCTCCGCTTCCGCTCCAACACCGCCGGCCAATAGTTATCCCGCGCGGATTACCATCCTCGACTAAGGGCTACAAGGGTTTCCCTCCTACAGGATTTAAGACGGACTTAGGCCTTGTTCCGGTCGCTGACCACTTTGCCTCCCATTAACCATTAACGGATCTAACGAAAATAGGATTAGATCGCGGCTAGTCGGAAGGCGCGCGCGCGCGCGCGCTAAGACTACTGCCGTTTGCGACGGGCGTCGGGTTTCTTCGCCGAAAAGCCGCGTCCACGGATTATCCGCGCAACTTCTTCCCCGATCCGTCCATCTCCTCCGTCTCTCGAGTTTCCGCTCGATTCGACAACCGCGCCGACGGTGGTCCGCCATACGGTGCTTCAAAGAGGAAGAAAAGTCCGCACTCCACGAGCAATCACGTCGAGGAATGTGGGATTGCGAGCAGCGAATAATAAACAGTCCTTCGGGTCATGGATTTAGTTGAAATTTTGCAGGTTTGCACATCTGGTCATCCAGTTCGAGAAAATATATCACTATAAGGGCAAGTTAATCCTTTAATTGCCACGCTGAAATCACGTGTTTCCCTCGGGACGTCACGCGAGTGCACCGCTAGATGCAAGATTCGTTGTAATACGTTTTTCATGTTGTAATAAAAATTTTCAATCGTTCAATGGGGCACTTTTTATTTCAGAGTATCTTCTAATTAGAGGTTATACTCGAAATGCACCGACTGTCAATTTTCATTCGACGTAGTTCAAGCGCTCCGGTCATCAATGACCACCGTGATGTCACAGGGAAACCGTGGCCTGTCGTATATGTAGGAAAGGAATAAGTACGGCCCTGAAAGAATATCGAGAGTATTATATATTTATATTAGGTCTACCGGAAAGCTCTGTCCGTTAATGTCACCTGAAGTTTCGTGGAATTCGCTATACTTTCCAGACTTAGCACCTGATTCCATCATCCTGGGAAGTGGTCACAGGTAACGATGAAAGTGATATTGTTGGATAAATATAAATAAATTTGTCGAAAATGTATTATCTTCTTTTACTTTAAAAATAGACAGAATTTTTCGTTAGACCTAATATATTTATATATTTGGACTTAGAAATATCTCAAACGCTATCCAGTAGTTGCTCCTACAATGATATATATTCTTGAACTGCATAACGAAATCTGCAAACCTGCAAAGTTTCACTCGAAGAATTTGCACTCTCCTTGTTGAAACAAAAGTGACCGCGTGCGAGAGGATCGAATGTAAGGGATGTTTATGACAGAGCCGAATGCAAGCGAAGAGTGGAAGCCTAGGAATACGTCCAAGTGTTTAGGATACGTGATCGACCGATTGAGAAAGAGAGTTTGAGAAGAGTCAGAGCGTGTTTAGAGCCAGCCATAGAGTTTTTGAGAGATATGGCGCTTGGAATAAGTTTCTAGTTTAACCCTTTGCACTAGAAAATTTTGTAGCTGGAGAAGAGTAGAAAAGCAAAGATTCTCTATTAAAAAACCGACGATACCTTTTCGAGCAGTAAATAAAGAATTTTATCACAACAGAATTGCAGAATTATTTGATTTCGATACCTCGCACACTGTTACGTTACATTAAATTTGACATATTAATTAATCTCGATCTTCCAAGTTTTACGAAATGGTGACTGAGGATCACACCTATCGAGTGCAAGGAGTTAAAATAAACGCTTCTCCCGTTGCCTATCCAACATTTCTACATATATGACCAACGTGGCGGTCAAAGCGTTAACGAAGCAGAAAATCGCAGAGTAATTACGACGAGTGTACTGGCGAGGACGATTCACCGCGTGGATCGCGATGGTTTATCTCGCGGGATGTTT